GGGATGGTTCCATCCTTTGTCAGCAGCTCTCCAAGCCTTTTTGTCCAGTGATTTTAAGAAGACAATCATACGAGGTTTCCAGTAGTCATAATTTGATCCATCTAGAATGGGTGGTATGTTTCCAAATCCTCCTTCTTTGTCCATAGCGCCAGAAAATAATATCCCTAGATCTCACCCAGTAAGACATGCAGGGTGCCTGCTCTGATGCCAATTGAAATTCTGGCAGCAGATACTTAATGTCACAGTGAATGTTATGACACCGTATCTGACACTCTTCAAGACAGTAAATCTAAAAGCAGTAAAGAACACAGTCAATTGTTTACCCAGTTCAGTGTGTAACAACACCTACTCTGGGGGCTACCAAGCCAGGGAGGAAATTCACTATAAGAGATATTAATTCAGGAAGTTTATCTCCTTCACTTAAGACCTACCCAATGTAACTTCAATCTAAGTTCAACTTAAACCTGAGTTCCTACTCACTCCCCCTCAATCACAGTAGTGATACTAAACAATTGACTAACGAAATTATGAAGACACTCTTCAGTACATACACTTGATTTTGCTTCACATCTTTAATAAAGTAACACAAACACTCGTGCTTCAAAGCTTTGAGTGATACACAATCCTAACTTGACTTTGCTTTAAAGCTTTAATCAAGTAACACAAACACTCGTGCTTCAAAGCTTTGAGTGATACACAACCCTTACAACCAAATCCTACTCCAAATCACTTATCACAATGATAATTGATTGGCTCACAGTAGTTACAACTATACAGTCCCTTATTGATCTTCTGTCAAAAAATGTGTTTCACCAACAGTCTTCATGAGGAATATATAGGCAGCTATTCTTCAGTTAGGGCTTCCACGAAAATAGCTAGGGTTAATTAGGATTAACCTCAAGACTTGGTCATAGGTCTTTAACAACCAGATTAGGGTTAAGCAGAGTTAACCTAATGTCCACGTGAGAATTTGACCTGGACTGTATAAACCAGATTCTTGAAAATTCTCAGGAATAACAAATCTGCACAAATGTTAGATCAGTACAGGATGTCTTAACATTGGTTATGACAACAAGAATCCTGTTTACTGATTTTGGTAGAATGCAATAAATATGATCATTGCATAATGATCAGCTAAACACTCATATTGAGCAGCTCCTGTATGACATTCTTTTTCTGTAGAATGTACCTTGTATCCCAGAATGTTATGACATCAGTCATGACATTCACACAATTGGTTTTACCAAAAAACATGCCAACAACCAAACACTTACACTATTTATGATATAGGTTGCATGAGGAACAACATATGACTAAGATATCTTGGGTAAATTATATTGAAAAATGAATGCCCTTCAACATTCAGTATGTGTTGGTGCTTCTTCTTTACTTTCTCAAAGTGCAAGATAAAGTGCTAGAAATGTGTTCCTTTGTTATTAGTTAGTGTATGACCAAATGAATTGATTGAGAAAACTTGATTAGAAACAAAAAATGCATATTGTTTATTGATGTTAGATTCTAGAATTAGATTGATGAGCTTCTCATATTGTTCATGAGGGGGAAGAGGTCATTTACGATCGGGGGTTGCAAGTGAGGAATCGTCACCTTAAAATCACTATTTCATGTGAAACACCATGAGCAACAAAGGAATTTGGACATTGTAGATGGAGTGGGAGATCATGTTTGTTGTAGCAAGTATCTAATGCAAGGTTGTTAAAATCGCGATTTAAAACTTAAACTCTATAGATTTCACATTTTTAGGTCAGTATTACGTATTAAATTGCAGGTAGAAACCTTTTTATGTAAAATCCTATTTTGGAACGATTTTGTTAGTTCCATGGTTTTCTAATTGGCTAAATTTTGGTAAAACATGGTTCTATACTGATGTTGAGCAAGATATTATAACATCTTCATCAAATGTCATGACAGTTTAACTGTTTTGTGTTTCAGTAAGATGTCGAAGACAAATATCATGACATTTTAGTCTGTGTGCAGCAGACATTATTGTTATGTATCGCTTGACAAATTGGATTTGATGAGATCCTTTTGGATATTCCTCATCATTATGCGCAGGTCAAAGAGATTATTTAGGAACAAAGTGCATATTTAATTGGATTTCTTAAAATGATCTTGGATACTTTTTAGGAAGATTTAAAAAGATTTGTTCATATTTTTATGAGAAGATCTTGCAGCTGTTTTGAAACACATAGATTGGATCTATTTGAAAAGTCCAAGGCCATACTGCAAGAGTCTATAAATAAGGACTTGCTAGACCTAAAATAGCAAGCATTCACAATAACAAAATGTGGGTGCAACATAAGGGTTTAGGTTTTAGGAGTCTTTTAAGTTCTTTATGTTTGTGTTCTTTGTATGTCACTCATGTATCTTTTGATGCATTGACTTGAATGATTGTTGCTTGTTTATCAAGCTATTGTTCTCACTCATGAGCTTTTAAGCAAAGGGTTGAATATTGTTCTTAGTTAAGAGTCTTAACTAAGTATTATGGATTGAAAGTGTAATCTTCTGTTTTGATACTAGTTATTGGGATTGTAACTGGTTTATTTATCACTGTGGTGATTGGAAGTGAGAGGTTCTCATATCTAGGAGGTTCCTAGGTAGAATTTGTGTGGGGTATTGATTAGGAGAAAAATTGTAAACTGAGATTGTTTAGGCTTTTAAATAATACAATCTTTGTTCCTTTTATAAGAGATGAGTCACTTTTTAGGCTAATTGAATAATCAATGTATTTGACCTGTTTATAAACTAGATACATTGATTATTCAATGAACCTAAAAAGTGATTTGTCTCTTATAAAAAGGAATGGAGGTAGTACTATGTAGTGGATTTATTTCTTGGCTTGGTAGCCCTCAGAGTAGGCGACGTTGCACCAAATTGGATTAATAATTGATTGTGTTCTTTAAATTTTTACAATTTATCTTTCTGAACAATCAACAATTTAGCGGGTTTTTTGTCAACATATGTCATAATATATGACTTGACATCGTGTTTCCGTGTTAATACATTTGTCTTGACCTTTGTATTACAAATGCCAGAATTTCAGATTTTAAATGATTTAAATTGTTTTGAAATCGGTGAAATCGTGTAAAATCGTTGGATTTTACTCTTTAACCTGGTTTTACCTATTTTGTCAAATTTTAAAAGTCACATTTTATATTTTGGTCCATGGAAACTTCTCCTTGACTTTTTAATTTTATTCACATTCATATCATAGTTATAATATTGAAAAATCTTTATCATTTGGAGATGAATTTAATCAAGTCAAATATGAATACCTTAATGAAGATAATGTTGTTGAAGGATTGAACTTTCGGTTAAGTTCAAGATGAAGATGAGAACACTTTTTTTTAACTTGAAAAACTTATGAAACTATTATTTTTTAGGATAATCTTTTGGATGTTACTTTTTATGATTTGGCGGGTAATTTATGTAGTTTGATACAAGTTAGTGAATATTACACTTTATTATGGTGATATAGTATATTTTTGCTTTATAATTAAGTTAAAATTTTAAATTATTAATGCATTTACAATATCATATAAGTATATATATATGTCGTGTATATAAAATTTAATATTATTTTAATATGAAGTAAACTCTATGATTTTACGTTTCGATTTTACCTAAACAAAACGAGTTAATGTAAAAAATCGATTTTGACAATCTTAATCTAATGTGTCCAGTGTGGTTGAAATAAGTGAAAACACGAGATTAGAAATTGAAAACATTTAATGTGAGCTTTCGAATAATTAAAAACAACAATGGGAGTTTTCCTTTCATGTTGAAGAATCATAGAGAAAATTTTGTCGATAGGGGAAATGATTAATCAGTAGAATATGAGATTTAACAACTCCAACATTGTCATATAAGTCTCCAATTACTCCCAAAGAATTTTGAGTTCAGACTAGAATTCAGTTACCAGTCGTGAATCTTGTTTAAGAGCATAAATCACACGTTGAAACTCAGACACACAACCCATATCACCTTGAGTGAAGCGCTCCTTCAAATTGAACCATACATCTGCAGTATTCTCCATGAACACGATGAATTGAGCTATTGAGACGTCACTTGAATTCATAATCCATGAACGGATGAGCATGTTAAAACGATTTCAACCACAAACAGAAGGATCAAAGGGATTAGTTGACATTTGAATGGTGATGATAGCATCCCATATGCAGTCCGCATTACATGTTTGAGTCTTAACCAACTAGCAAAGAGTACGGGTGGCAAAACGAGTTTGGTCAGTCGGGCATGCTTGTTTTGCCCACACTTTTTTGCGGGGCGATCCAAAGTTTTATGTTGACACCCTCTAATATGCTCGTTAGATCCTGTCCCATTTTTTATAGGTTTTTGCAGGTGCATGCATTAGCATAAAATTTTGCAATTATAAACCATGAAAGTGCAGTGCCTGAGTTCGCGCCCTCAATTATGTTTGTCCAATCCTGTTATTTTACGGACTTTTACGATGTAAGCCTAAATGAGGCGGACGTGCTTGTTTGTCACCCCTGTCATAAGAAAAAGCAAAACTAAATCTAACATAACAAAAATGGAAACTTACTTGGATCTCGTGATGCAATAAGCTGCAAATATCTAGTGCAACACAGCTTATAAAACTAAGTCTACTCTTTCATTCCTAGCCAGATCTGCTTATAGATCAATGGATTGGATTTATTGATGTGGCTTCAATACTTAAAAATAACAGCATCTTAAGCTTCTTTTTTTTAAATGAAGAAACAGTAATCAGTATGAATAAATGTGATAACCTCTGATTATTCTAGTACATAAAAAATTGAGATACAAATTTGAAGTTTAAAGGAAAACTACATGTTCATAAATTAAAACATAAATGTTAGCCCCTTAATAAAGATAGTAAAGATGTTCTTTTATAGGAGGAATAGGCAATATAGTAAAAACCAAAACCCCCCCAAATTTTCAAGGACAAAAAAGAATTCCAATTATACAGCATTTGTGTTGCCAAATCATCGTTTCGTTCTGCACTTCTTTCTTATCAATATCCCTTCTGGAGGGCGTGCCACCATGATACTGCAACGGCCATAAAGGTTATATGAATACCTTAAGATGGTTCCTAGTTTTGATCTTGCTCTGAAAACTCCCCTCACTTCAAGCAAAACGCCATTGCTTTCCATTTGTTTCACAAGCCTCTGTGCCTCATTTAATGGCAGCTGAACTTGACTAGTTACCATATGTATATATGCAAATCTTGACTGAACCCTTGCAGCTGAGAAAGGCTCAACATATTGAGTAGCAATAAGGGTACTTCCATAGTACAGATAAATGATCACTGAGCTGAAATCCACATGTACTTTCTTGTTTGGATTTGTGAAATTTGTCAGCATAGTTAAATCAGCATTGAGTAGATAGCCAACATCAAGGTATGCAGCATTTAGTGTAACACTAGAGACATCAAAGTGAGGAATTTGTGGACGAAAAACCAAGTACACTATGAGTACTATTAAGCCTCCTATGATTATGATAAGCCAAAATATTACACACAAGAAAGCACCCAGCCAAGTTAAAGGTGGTGATTTTTGTTCTTTAGGAAACCTTATACCACTGTGACGCCGATCTTGGCGTGGTGCTAGCTGCCGCCGAGGCTCAGGAGGATGATCAAGCGGTGGTGGTGATAGAACTGATGGCTCTTGAAAATTTACCTTTGACTTAACTGGCCGAAGATCCTGATCTCGATGCTTTTTGCGTGAGCCTCCACGCGGTGGTTGGCTGGTGCGGTTTCCCCCCCTTCGTGGAACTTGTAAACTAGGTGGTTGATGATGACCTTCTTGCTCAAGGGGATGTGGAAAACGACTATCATGATCTGCCCGCAATGGAACGTGATCGTGGTGTGGAAAACGACTATCATGATCTGCGCGCAATGGAACATGATCTTCATGGTGTGGCAATGGAAAATGAGGTTGGGGATGCTGAGATGCATCTTTTATAGGTGCTGCTACAGGAAGAGATGGTTGGCCACGGTGGTGTTGGTGTGGCACTAATGGAATATTTGGCTGCTGCTGATCTGCATTCTGGGGTTGCACTGGTCTAGAAAAGTGAGGGTTGGTTTCTCGACGAGACATGGTTTCTGTGGAAAATGTACAATGAAGAGAAACAAGAGGCTAATACTATGAAAATGTTATTAAGATAATGTAAACCAGAACAAATCAAATCCAAAACAAAAATTAATAGGCATTAAAAGAATGAGAATGACTTCATGAAAACTTCAAGGATGATTCATGTACAGGCAAAGAATCAAATATTAGCCAAGTATGTGGGGCCACAAGTTTCTAATTTTTTCTTTAACACTCTATTTGAGTATTTCAAACATTAAGTGATAATGTATCTTATAACTTTTCATTATATATAATAGGAATCTATGTTAACAGTAGAGAAGAAAACTTTTTATGAATTTGGAAGTGGAATAGATTTTTGGACTAATAGATGTCATAATTGTCAGAGTCCTATTCAAATGTACCCTTTCTATTAAACAATCAATTTACATGCACAATACCAACTTCACAAGATACCTTCCTTCTACTTTGATCCAAAGTAGATGGGCCACAAATCTACGAATTGCAAGTTCAAAAACCTTGAAAAGTTTAAAGCACTCGATAGGCCAGAGGAATCCATCAAGTATTTGGGCGAAAATCTGTTCAATCAAAAAGAAATCATTGTGATTGGCAATAATTAAACCAAAATCTGAATAGAAACAGATATACAAGTCAAAAAGAGAAGCTAAAGCCAGATTCTTCTTTTCTTGTCTTCAACTTCAATTTTACTATATTCTCCAAGAACAGCTCACTTATATAGTTAAGCAATCCCCACAGTCCCAATTGCAGTGGCAGGTGGTACAACATCCAACACCAATGGTTCACAAATTACTATTCTCCATTTTCTATCTATTCAACAGTTCTCCAACATGGCGTCATAGAATTATTAGCAGATCACTTTGAAATACTCAAAGAAATCAAGTAAACAGCCAACTCAAAATCAAAACAATGATTGATTCAGGGTGAAATATCATTTTTCTCCTATAGCAATAAGATAGGTAACACAGTTCAAAACAGGTGGAAAGCTATTCAAAATTTCTATATAAAAACTTACACCAAGAACTATTGATTATGAAAGTATAAGCTTTTAATTAAATAGAATACTGATAGATTATTAATGCAAAGAGTAAACCCCAGTCCCCAGTAGCACAGAAAGTCAGTAATTAAGATTCAAAATTTATGTTCTTCACCTGAATTTTTCTCTTGTCCCCTACTTTCCTTCTTTCGACTTCTACATCTTTTCGGTCAAATCAATCCGTTGATTGGCTTATTATGCTTGTTTTGAGCTTTGGCCATTCCTGTCCAAGGGGTAACATTGTCTTGGGTAGAATGTAATGGCAAGGAAATACATTTACAACATTATACACTAGTATATAATGAGTAACGGTTTAGTAGTGAACTAATGTTGTATGATTGTGATGTATAAGGTAAACAAGTAAGAACTCCTTTTTTTCCCCTCAAAGATATGCAAAAATCAACAAAAGCATATTGAAAATTATTTTTCAATAATAAAAGAATGAGCTGAAATAAAGGAGAAACATATGTGTAAAGTAATGAATGATTAGGGTAACATTTCGTTAGAGAAGCTTGAAGTTCTGTACTGCAGATAGAGACAGAAGCATTCACAAAAAGTAATCCTAATATAGGTCAGACAAGATGGATTTTATGACAGTATAGTCCAACAAATACACATTCTTTCTGTTCTAATTAAAATCTGTGGATCTGGTGCCAGCAACACGGTTTTTCCACAGAATGTAATAGATTTGAACTTTGAAACCTAACAAGGCTACACTGTAGATCTTGAACTTTTGTAATTATCTGTTGAGCCTAGATAAACACAAACAGTAAGCCGCTAATCTGATACTGAAGGTTCCACAATGCTTGAGGTATGAAACTTTGAATGTGGCCCACAAGGTGAAGTTTACAAAGAATGTTTATATTTGTGGTTCAAACTTATGCTCTGCAGCACATCAATTCATAAATGGTATGAGCTCTGTCCAGGTGAATCAAAACTTCTATTCACCGACATTAAAGCTTGTTATTCCAAAAAGGGCGATATACTCAAATTAATCGTGTAGATCCATAAAATGATAAAATTATCATCATCAAAGTGTCTACAGCATAAGCCTGGAATCGAGTCAAAATCTTGAATTGAGCTGCCACTGATCAAGGATTTCATCAACTAGCAGAGTCATAGTATTCTGAACCACTCTTACTCCGAAGAAACACCAGCTTAATTTATATAGGCACCTGGATTCATTTCAACCACAAATCGCTAACTACCGGCATCAATTGTGCGGGGTGTGAGATTCAGATCAATAGCTCCCGTGTATAAAAAAAATGGCCAAAGAGTATAATGAGTATATTGTATTGACAAATACAACCTGCCAGCTAAAAGTCTGTTGGTAATAGGAAACAAAACTTGCATACTAACTCATTAGCAACTAGAAACCACTGTAGGACTGTCCTTGTTATGGATTCTCTACGAGAAGCTGGCCAGGAAACTTGTAGTGTCTTAGCACCATGCAAAGCTGTGAGATTTCACCATGAGCAGCATGCAGATGGTTATACTGATATGCAGGTGTCACTGCCTGCAAAAAACAAAGTAACTTCACCGGTTTGCTACACTTTCATGTAGTATGTCGAGAGAGAAACATTTAAGTTGCTCTCCCATTTGAAAGAAGGGCGTGATGAAGTTGAGAAGATCACAATGCAAACCTATACAATGCTCATGTGCCATCTCTTGACTGAATGGCATTGACTAGAATCTCAGAGAGATCTCTGTCAAGTGTAAATCCTTTTTCCATCATCTGATCCCAAACCCTGCAGGCCTCTGAAAGCTTGTTTCCCTTAATGAGCCCTCCAACTACCAACTTGAAAGTAACCTCATCTGGGCATAATCCTTTAACCTGCATTTCTTCGTATAGCCGCATGGCGTCCATAACTTTAGCAGACTTGCAAAACCCATTTATGAGTGCATTGTATGAGACCACATCTGGACTTACTCCATTCTCCACCATGTCAGAAAAAACAACATGAGCCCTATCAATATTCCCGGACTTGCACAGATGATCAAATATTGTGGTATAGAAAATTACGTCAGGAACAATCCCCATTTCCGTCATTCGATCAAGAAGCTTTTTGGCAATATCAAAACTACCTTCCCTAAAAAACGCTTCTATAAGTACTGTGAATGTTATCACGTCCGGCTGAATCCCTTTCCTACGCATTTCCTCAAACAACTCGTAAGCTCTCTCAGTCCTCCGCGCCTTACAAAAAGCCGCAATAATAGTATTGTAAGAAACAACATCGCATACTCCTTTACTCTGCATCCTCTTGACCATAGTCAAATAAGCCCTATCCAACTGATTAGCCTTACAAAATCCCTTAAGCAACTCATTATAACTATACACATCAGGCCCCACACCACTCCTCTCCATAGTCTCCACCAACCTCACGGCCTCGTCAAGCATAACCTCATCACAACAATAATTCAACAAAATATTATAAGTAACCAAATCCGGCTCACACCCATTCCTACTCATAAACCCTTTAATCGCCAAAGCCTTATCATTCCTACCCATCTTACAAAACCCACTAATCAAAGCATTATAAACCAAAGAATTAACCTTTACACCACCACTGATCACACCAACAACAAGCTCATAAGCTAAATCAACATTACCAACACCACACAAACCAACAACAAGTGCAGCACACGCCTTCAAATCAGGCTTCAACCCACTCTCAATCAAACCACGCCAAACACGAGCAACTTCATCAAATCTTTTAGCTTTACACAACGCGTCAACAATAATAGTATACGAAACAACATCAGGCTCTCTTCCCTTCAACCGCATTGCGCGAAAAAACTGAAGAGCCGTTTCTAACTGATTTTCACGGCAGAGAATGTTGAGGTAGATATTAAAAGCCCAAATATCAGGAACATAGCCGAGAGCATCCATATCACTAAGGAGAGAATCAATGAGGGGGAAGTTTTTGACGGAACAAAGAGCGGAGATGAAGCGAGAGTAGGTGAAAGGGGATAGTGAGAAACCATTAGGGATGACGTGGCGGTGGTAGTAGCTTTGAGCGAGGTCGAGGTGAGAGTGGCGAATGAGAACGCCGATGAAACGGTTGTAGTCGATGCTGAAAGGACGACAATTTGATTGAGACATTTGGTCGAACAGTTGGATTGCAGTGTCGATGAGACCAGCTTTAACGTAGTAGGATATTTGAGAACGGTAGAGTAGGCGGCGTGCACCGACACTGTGATACATATCACGGCTTCATTCATTTGTTCATTCATTCACTTTCTGTTGTGGTTGTTGTTTTTGTTAAACCCCTCCTTGTTGGAATTGTTAGGGGAGGGAAGGGAAGGGAAGACAATACACAGTACACTAGTGCTTCATTTGGGCTGTTGTAACAAAAAGTTGTTGGGCCAGAGCTACTTACACCCATATTTTGGAGTTGCTTTTTGCACCCCGAGTACTGTTAATCCACCTTGATCAGATCATTTGTTTTATAACTGTGAAATGTATTTCATATAATAGTTAAATCATCATGCATCTTCAGCTCAAATTTGTTGAATTATATCTTCCTTTCATTGTCATTTAAGGGTGAAAGATGATAGAGTTTCACAACTCTTCGATTGTTTGGGTATCGCAACAGATTCTCAATTGTGGATTTTATATTAACGAGACATATGGTATCTATAAACTTAAACTCAAGAGGGCTCCTTTCTCCGTTGAAGTAAACAAATGTGAGATACGAATATTGAGACATTTTGTGTTGATTTTATTAACAACATGAGAGAAACCTATATTTATACAAGTTTTAAATCAATATGGTTCTTAAAACCCAATCATATCTTACATAATATGTTGGAACTTAAATTTTAGAATAACTCATTTCTGTTTAGAAAAAGACAGGAAAAAGAGTTTGTCTGGAATTAGGGCTGCCAATGAACCGTATCAACTCGAAAATAGTTTGAGATTCGATTCGGTAATTAATTTGTTGGATTTGGTTCATGAACCAAATGAGTCGAACTTAAGTTCAAAATTAAGTTCGTAAAATAAATGAGTTGACTTGAGATATGTATAGTTTGATTCGTTTGGTTCATAAACTGGCTCGATATATAAGTTTCATAAAGACATCAATACTTAATTTTCATATTTATTTATATCATTTGAAAGATGATAAAATGATTTACAATTCTATTGATTAAAAAAATTCAAATTTAACATAGTAAATATATGTTACAAACTTAAGTTATAACATTTCTTTATTTGTTCATATTACCTACTTTTGATGATAATATCTTAAATTACAAATATTATTTTGAGATGAAACTTATATTATATGAAAGCTAAAAATATTGTCTATAGCTCTTGTCAATATAAAGATAAATAAGATTGTTTTAATTATCATATTACTCATCAAAGTTAACTATTTAGATAAGTTCTAAAAAATATTAATTTAAAATGTCAAATATATATATATATATATATATATAGACTTTAAAAAGTTTGTGATGAACTCGAACTCGACCAATTCTTAACGAGTCGAGTTTGAGCTGGAAAAAAGTTCGTGATGAACTCGAACTCGTCTAATTCTTAACGAGTCGAACTGAGCTGAGGCAAGTTCGACTAGACTCGACTCATTTCCAGCCCTATCCAAAACATAAGTTCCAAATTAAATCATGCTAGTAGTCGTTTTACAAAAACTGGTTTGGCATAATGGTTTAATGACAAATAGAAACTTTTTTCATCAACATAAACAATTTTTCAACCAATATTTATATAATTAATGTTGGATATACATTAAAATGTATTAAAATATATCCATATTACATACAAAAAGAGAGTCATCACCTAAACACATTAGATAAAAACTAAAGTGTATCAAAATATATGTCACCGCCTAAATCTATATCTATAGGTGGTTCCGTCTTTGACTTTTGTTGATTTAATTATCTTTCAATCTCGCTCAATTTGGTGAATTCTTCCATCTTAACTAAAAAAGTTATTTTGCCAAGTTTCAACTTTCGTTGTGGAATGAGTTGTCTATTTTGGTGATGTCTGTGGTAGAGGATATCCCAGTTTCAACTAAACTTGAACAAAATATAGTGATTTTGAAAGCCACCCAATACACATAATGTGTCTGCTTGGATTTTGAAATGAACCACTCTGAACTTCATACAATAGACACCATGTTTTATGAACTTGTTATAAGATGACTCATTTTAATTAAGCACATTTATTTTTTCTCTGGTGCGGGACCGCTAACACGGGGATTAAGAGATGCATAAATTGCATCAAAACTTTTTTTTTCTTGTATAGCATTGTTTATGATTCCTTATGCACCTTAACTCTTTGAGAAGTTGTTGATAGAAAAGTTACAATTCTCCTATCTTTTACCGAGCAAAGCTAAAATAACATGATAATTGTAGTTACCATCACCTTTAACATCTACAATTCATTCAATATATTTGTGCATGAAAACCTAAATCTCTTCAATATATTTGATTTTTGGTAAAGGTGGTGAAGGAGATAGTTTGCTAATGCAAGCACCATTGAAAACACTTTTTTGAGATTTTGAAGTTAGATAATCTGGAAAATGTGTGTGAACATGTTTGAAAGAGGAAGGAGACCACTTCATTAAATTGTCATTCTGTGTTGGTTTGACTTTCTTAGGAGCACCCTTTGTTTTTACCATTTTCGATGGTGGTTTCAAATATAAGGTTTCTTACTGTGCAATTTCATGTTGTCAACGACTTTCATAAATATCTCTTGAATCACATCACATTAGGTCATGATAGATATATTTTATTTACCATTCTTTACCACACCATAATCATCAAAGCGGAGTCTTTTCCCGTGCGTGTAAACATCATTCATTTGTATGGGTCTATCAAGTTTCGTCTTTTTTAAAATTAAACAACTACATGGAAGACCTTACTTATTTCTAAATGTATAACCATACTTTGATCTATCTGAATCTATTTTCTCTGCTCGCTTGACTTCGTAATAAATAAAATTCAATTCTCGTTCGAGATACATTGCCCACCAATTAAGAATAAAGATTGTTGTATCTGAATATGTGTTCTGATAATATAATGTTGCAACCAAATAATGGGTGTATTATCATATTGATTTTGGATCATTTAGTTCATGGAGTCCCAGCCTCTACATAAATCACCTTTACTAATAATATAATGTTGCAACCAAATAATGTGTGTATCTTATTATGTTGATTTTGGCCAGAACCATGACCAATGAGATAAATGTGGCAGAACACTTATGGGAAGAAGCAATAAATATCGCATGTTATATTTATAACAGGATCTCTATAAGACCTATTATGAGTAAGAATCCTTATGAATTATGCAAGAACAAAAAGTCCAATATTTCATATTTTCATCCATTTAGTTGTATTTGTTTTATGCTTAATACTAAGGAAAACTTAAAAAAGTTTGATTCTAAAGATCAAAAGTGTATCAGGTTAGGATACTCTGACGCTCAAAAAGCTATAAAGTATATAAAACTAAAACCACAATTTTTGAGGAATCAATTCATGTTAACTTTAATGATAAGCTTGACTCTGAAAAGTCAAAGCTAGTTAAAAAGTTTGCAGATCTGGAAATCATCTATTCAAACTCTAAAGATAAGGACTTTGAGTTTAAAGACTCTGGACATTGCTCAAAATGAATCTAATCAATTAGCACCAGAAGCTGCCAACACACCAACACCTCAGAAGAAGTACAAGCACATATGCTCTCATTCTGAAGAACTGATTCTAGGTGAAAAGACATAACATGTCATAACCAAATCCTCATTTAGGAAAGATGAATAAACTCTTCTAGGTTTGGTGTCTATCACAGAACCAAAAAACTGTTGATGAAGATCTTTAACATCTTGAAAGAGAAAGCATTAGTGAAATCTATCAGTTACGTGTATCATTCAAATACCATATTGTGTAGCATCTGGATTGTAGGTACGTGATTATGGGTTTTTAACTCTGAACCTCTTAACTATCTGAGGTTAGAAGGTTCTCTAAGTCAGAAGGTCCTAATTCAGAATCCCTTTGGGATCTTCTGTCTTCTGGACCATAAAACATTAATGGTCAGATAAAGCGCTTTTGTTGAGACTAAGAAGAAAGATAGTTGTCCTAATATCAGTCGTTAAAAACGCTTAAATGACCCTTGGGAGTTGTCCTTCTTGGTTAAAACAAATATCATTACTTTTGGCCCCCTAAGTGAGAATAACCATATTTTTAAATTTTTATTTTAATCATTCAGTTTCTTATTTAAACTTCACTCTCACTTAGTTCTCACACACGACGCTTCATTTCACAACCCACACTTTAAACTTTTCATCTTCTCTGGAGCTCTTCTCTTAAAAACCTGAAACTCTAAAAATGGATGAATAACAAAATGTTGTTGTAATGAAAGAAGTCCTTTATGAGGTATCTCTATCAACATCGGTCGATTAATTGGGTGTTCTATATGATCCTATCATGGATTTTGATAACTTGAAGATAAATGGGTTTGATATTTCTGACAATGTTGCTAAGCAATGTTGGGAGTCGTTTTTCAACTGCCTCAAAGGTCCCGTTTATCCTTCCTTGGTGAAGGAATTATGGATACCTATAACTTTTAACCTAATGATTTCTTCAGTCATCCTTGGTAAAAGCATCTCTATCATTGAAAAATCCACCGCTTAATTGATAGGTCACGACGGTTTTGGGAGGAGATGTTACAATATGTCTACAAAAGAAGAAAGAGTCATAGAATTGGTCTCTATTATCTTTAAACTAGAGAGAAAAAACACTTTCACATGGAAAATCTATGGATAAACTTGAGGATTTGGGCCAAGATTATCATGTCATGCATTCATGCTAGACCTTCCAGCAACTCACCTGAGTATATTAGCTGGGACTAGAAGTTCATGCTATACTATCTAGTGACACTTTCTTTAAAAGAGTTAAAAGGATTTAAAATAAAGTGCCTAGAAAGGATTTAAAAGACTTCATACAAGGATTTAAAAGAGTTAATATCTGGTGACATTTTCTTTTAACTCTTATTACATGAAAAACAATCCATAAAATGAGTTAAAAGAAAGTGCCTATCAAGGATTTAAAAGAGTTCATGCAAGGATTTAAAAGATTCATGTTAGCATATCTTGAAATTTGTAAGAAAGAAGGATTATACCTAATGGTTGATCCCTATAATTTACCTGAATTCCCTCCAGAGTTTCTTCACAAAAGTAAAATAATGTCC